TTCCTCTATTTCTTTGCAGCTTCCTCCTGTCCCAATACCATGTTCAGCCTTCATTCTGGCTTCAGTAGTTACTCGCGGTTGTGTTGACCTTGGTCACTCCCTACCATTCCTCCCGTCCCCTCCCCAGAGACTATAAATCTTTACAAAAATAGAGAGCCTCATCTTTTTCCCGAGGAGCAGCTGGTAGATTTGAACCACCTACCTTTTAGTTAGCAGCCCAATGCCTAACCCACAGTGCCACCAGGCCTCCTTAATGAGGGACAGGGGTGTAAATATATAAAACTCCTCCTTCCTATTTACTATATGAATAATAAGGGCTTCTTATAGGAAATATAAGCACTCCTATGAATATATATGTATGTGTGTGTATATATATATAAAATTTTTCATAGAGAATCTTTGTTCATGTGCATTTGCCTTTCCTGCAAATAAATCCATGAACATGGTAGAGACAAAAAGAAAGGAGAAATGTAAGCAACAGTGTAAAAAGTGTAATCTTCCCTCTCTGCCCCCCAGGCCCACCCAACACCCCCAGCACTAGAAGTAATGATGGCTAACTTGTTGGTGGGTGTTCTTTCAGATGCCATTCCTAAGTGCACCCAATCATGTCTGCAAATAGATAATTCACTATTGGTCCCATAAAACTGGGATCACATGATACAAGTGAGCACATGCTTGCTTTTACCATGTCATATTTTTATTTTGGCACATACAGAACAATTTTTTCCATGACTATCTCATATTCTATTGTATTTATGTATCACAACGTATTTAATCACTCCTCAACACGTTCTTAGATGCTTCCAAGTGAGTTCCAACTCTGACTGACCCCATGTACAACAGAAAGAAACACTGCCGGGTGCTGTGAAGCGTTTTCTCCTCAGCATAGGAACATCACAATTATTTCAACTTTATCACTACTATAAAAACAAGGGTACAGTGAGCAGCTTGCAGATTGCTTTTGATGGTCATGATCGTTGCCTGAGATACGGTTGTTCCAGGGCTTTGAACCAGTTGAAAACAGCTCAGTAATTGCTGTCCTTGTTGTCAACAAGGGTCGCATATATGTTGCATAGCAACATGGTCTGTGGCCTGTGATATTTTGACCCAAGCAGGAAGTAGCTATGTCCCAATCAAAGGTGGTGACCAACCATGCTGCTCTGAATGTGTGCTGCTTTCCAGAGTCCTGACCCAATCATTTCTCCCAAAAGTTTCAGGAGCCTGACACAAGAGACTGGGTTGTTGGGCCATTAAAATGAAAAATAAAAGCTGATCTCAAACTCAACAGAAGCTCAATTTTGTTTCAATTTAACCATTTGTCCTCAAGTGGAGTCTGACTCATGGCGACCCCAACTCTGTCAGAGTAGAACTGTGATCGTTCCAAAGGAGATCTCCAGGCCTTTCTTCCCAGGCTTCTGGATGGACTTGAAACCTCCAACTCCTCAGTTAGCAGCCAAGTGTGTTATCCACTGGCACCACCTGAAGACTCCTTGGAGTCCTGGTGGTGCTGTCATGTACACATGGGACTGCTAACCACAAGGTTGATAGTTCAAACCCACCAGCTATTCCTCAGGAGAAAGAAGATGCTAGCTGCTTCCATCAAGACTTAATGTCTCAGAAACCCTTAGGACAGTGGTTCTCAACCTGTGGGTCATGACCCCTTTGTGGGGTGGAATGACCCTTTCACAGGGGTCGCCTAAGACCATCGGAAAACACATATTTCCGATGGTCTTAGGAACTGAGGCACTGCTCCTCTATCCATCTCGAGGCAGGTCCGCCCACATGCAGATACGCCCACCTACGAGTACCCGGTGTGAAGACTGTTACCCATGCTACACCATGCTTCAAGACAACATTTCATTTATCTGTCATTAAAAATAAATATTTCACAAGATATAATTATATATTGTTTTGTGAGTCATTATTATGCTTTCATTATGTTCAATTTGTAATAATGAAAAAGCATCCTGCATATCAGATATTTATATGATGATTCATAACAGTAGCTAAATTATAATGATGATGTAGCAATGAAAATGTTATGGTTGGGGGTCACCTCAATGTGAGGAACTGTATGAAAGGGTCGAGGCATGAGGAAGGTTGAGAACCACTGCCTTAGGGCGTAGATCTACTCTATCCTATAGGGTGAGTATGAGTTGGAATCAAGTTGATGGCCGTGGGTTTGGTTTGGGGGTTCGGATAAAGCTCCTTGTTGATAGGGCTATAAAATGGAAAGTTCCAGCAGAAACTGTTTCTGGAGTGGTAGAACGACACATTACCTTTGGGTAGGATTCTGATTTTTTTCTTATTGCTTTGTTTAGACATTTTCGTGTTCTTCTATAGACAACAATTTTTCACATTTGGGACATGCCATTTTCAAAGTTCAGTCTTACTTTTAAGACTGCTGAGACTCTAGCTAAGCTCCCCCTTTCAGAGGGAGCGAAGGAGCCAGGAAATGGAGGCATTCAGCCGAGACTCAGGGCTCCAGGCCCTCCAGTTTGCTCCACCGTGTATGCTAAGGTGTGTGTCTATGTTTTCCCACAGGTATGTTCTTGATGACCAGTATGTCAGCTCAGTAGGAACCAAGTTTCCCGTCAAGTGGTCAGCCCCAGAAGTGTTTCACTACTTCAAATACAGCAGCAAGTCCGATGTTTGGGCATTCGGTAAGTGTGTGACCACACAGGGCTGTTTCTTAAGCTAGCTTCCACAACAGGAAACCACAAGAGCAACAACACCCATAGTTAAAGGGCCCACTTACAAAATCACCAGGACGGCCAGAGACAAGCAGAAGGTGGACGAAGACGGGCCAGGTGTTAGGAGGTCTGCTACATATGGAGCCATATTTCTCCTAAAATCAAAGGGAGAAAAGCGCTTCTACCACGGGTCTTCATAAGGAATGATAGGAAGCGAAAGCAGAGTGGGCACTTAAAAAAATCACTCGCTGTCATCAAGTAGACGCCAACTCATAGAGACCCTACAAGACAGGACAGAACTGCCCCTGTGGGTTTTGGAGACCGTAGCTCTTTACCAGAGTAGAAAGCCCCGTCTTTCTCCCTTGGAGCCGTTGGTGATTTCAAACTGCCGACCTTTCAGAGAATAGCCCAAAGTGTAACTACTGCGCCTTCAGGGAGGGCTTCAATGACACCAGCAAGTTCTGGGTACGAGGACAGTGTGGGTACAAGGACACCCAGGACAATCATCCACTTCTGAATTGAATGATTCTTTTGACATCTCTGGTGTAAATACCAAATTGGAATCAGTGCTTTTTGTGGCCTGTGCCTAGCTTCAAGTACCCTCCTTGTTAAAAATGAGCAAGTAGAATAAGGTTTCCTGGCAGGGTGGGGTACTGTGGGCAGGTAGCGGGTGGTACGGATAGCGGTAAAGGGGAGATGATGTCAAGGCGTTCGCAAAGGAAAAGAATGTTTGGAAACGGATTGTGAGTAGCAATTGTACAATACTGCTTGATGTGATTGAACTCCGGAATGATATGCTATCTGTCGTAGCTCTCAATAAAATGCTTTTGAAAACAAAATCCTTTCAGAGCACTGGCCAGCAAACCACAGCTCAAGGACCAAATCTGTTCACTGTTTCTGTCAATCAAGTTTTATTGTCACATAGCCACGCTACAGGGGCAGGGCTGAGTGGTGGCCACAAAGCCCAAGGAGCCCACTAAGTCGAAAGCACAGCCCTCTCTAGCCCTGTCCTCCTCACAGGAAATGTGCTGACTCCTACTGGTGGCGTGCTGCTGCGCTGAGCTGCAGACCCACGGGGGCAGTTCTGTTGGCTTACTCTGAGTTGGAATCGATTTGACAGCAGTGAGTTTGTTTGGGTGGGATTTTACTAAAAGATCTCTAAGACAATGTATTGAAGGTAATGAGCAAATGAACTGTTTAGAAAGTACGACTGAAGATTTTCTTACAAGATAAGTCAGAAAGTGCTGTTACTAGTGGTTTGCTCCAAATAGAATGTATTTAAGCGTGTCTCAGCCATCAGTGGATGCTGCAGACCAATTCTGGCAGGAGGGTACTGTCTTTGACTCTCTAGGAGGCCTTCATAAAAAAAGATTTCATCGAAACAGTGGCTTCAAGGCTAAGAGGTCAGCTCGGCATGGTGATTGTTTTTTGGGCGGTGGTTGGTTTTTTGTTGTTTTGTTTTGTTTGGATTCTAAATCCAAATCTTGATAGATTTCTCAAAGGACACGGTATTATCCCAAAGGCTTTTGAGACAGACATTTTGAGAAAGTTGAAAACTGCACTGGTAGAGGGAGGTGGGGTGGGAAAGGGGGCCAGGAAAGCGATGCTTTGTGGAGGAACTTTTTCCCACCATGATGATGCACCTGCTTGAGATGCATTGTTTGCGGGGAGCTAGGAGACTTTATTGGGGAAATCATACCCCATCCGCTCTCTGGCCCTGCGCTTGCCTCTGCAGGGTGCTTTTAGTTCCCCCCAAAACTGAAAGAATATAGCAAATGAACACAATTCGAACCCCTCAGGGATGCCCCAAACCACCATTTTGACATGGTGTAAATTGCATTGTACAAACTTCTTCAGGAAAGTGCTGGAGAGATGAAAGCGATGCCTTCAGAAGTGCACAGGCCTAGTGTTGAGAAACAGCTTCACACGTTGATGTTTTTGTTTAATACAGGGTTCTATGGTTTCATTATATATATATATATATACACACCTTTGTATTTTTCTACATCATGAGAGATGCTAAGCCTGTTTTCAATCACTGTCAGATCTGCCCAGGATAAATCATCTAAATTATCATAAAGCTACAGGATATATTAGATATGACTGAGACCTATTTCATGCTGTCTTAGTCCATAAGCAAAATTTTGCTGTGATTTGACATCTTTAAGGCTGGCTGTGGAAAAGGAACATTTAATCATTTATTTTTCTATAGCATGCAATCTTTTAAAAAAATAAAATTACTTTTTTAAAGGTGACATCCTTCATGCCAAAAAAAAAATGTCCAATGTGCACAGGAAACAAAACAAACACTAAGCTGGTATTTGGGTGAATACTTACCATTCTGTGCTGATTAAATTTTTTTATACCTTGTGATCAAAATTAGTTCCAATCTCTATATAGTAATTACTATGCTTCATTAATGTTATATTTTAAAAAGCAGTGGCCGTACTAGTTACAGCTTGTTTTCAACCCAATAATTGTGGCATTCAGCTTGATTTCTTACTTCATGCACCAGAACACGGCTCTAGATATTTTCTGGCTGTTTCTACGAATTAAATCCATTCTTTTTTTTT